CCACATCTGAATCACATCTTGCGAATAAGCACTCGTGGGACTAAGCTGCAAGTGGGCACCGGCTGCTCTGTTTCACAGAGCTCCAATTTTATCAAAAATCAACTGAGAAAAACTATGGTTACAAGACTTAGGTACTTGGCAGACATTTTCTCAAAAACAAACAAGGTGGGCTTCTCACTTCAGAAAGCACAACTGACAGTATTTGTGATGAAATTCAAGTTTTTAAGTGAATTTTAAAATACTGAAAAAGCTGTATCTACCAGTGTGCACTTGACAGATTCTCAGTATTTACAGACTTTTCTGATAAAATCAGTGGTGATAGAAACACATTTTATTTTTAAATATTCTATAAGGGCTGAGTATGATGGCTAATTTTTTTTATTTATTGTAGAGATGAGCTCTCACCAAGTTGCCCAGGCTGGTCTTAAACCTGTGGGCTCAGGCAATCTTCTCGCCTCTGCCTCCCAAAATGCTAGGATTACAGGAGTGAGCCACCATGGCTGGCTGACCCAAATTATTTCAAAAGGCTACTAAAACACTCCTCCTTTTTCCAACTACATATGTATATGGCTAGATTTTCTTCTTTATATAACTCAATCCAAACAATAATGCAACATATTTAATGCAGAAGCAAATACAAAAATCCAGTTGTCCTCTATTAAACCGGATATTTAAGAGACTTATAAGAGTAAAATGTCACTTTTCTCATTACATTTCTTGTATTGAAAATAGTACTGGGTGAAGTGGCTCCCTCCTGTAATCCCAGCACTTTGAAAGGCGGAGGCAAGAGGACTGCCTGAGCCAAAGGGTTCAAGACCAGCCTGGGAAACATGGCGAGACCTGATCTCTACAATTAAAAAAAAAAGAAAAAAATTAGCTGAGCGTAGTGGTGCCTGCCTGTAGTTCCAGACATTTGGAAAGCTGAGGCGGAAGGATCACCTGAGCCCAGCAGGTTGAGGCTGCGGTGCGCGAGCATGCCACTGCACTCTACCTTGGGCGACAGAGTGAGACTCTGATTCAAAAAAACAGAAAGAAAGAAAATAGTTACTCTTTATAAAAATATGACTTACATTATTATGTAATGGATTTTTCTAATGAATTAATAAAGCTTTAATAAATTTTTAAAAATTTATTTTTTTTATTTGGAGTTTTACTCTGTTGCTCAGGCTGGAGCGCAGTGGCCCTCTACCTGCTGGGCTCAGGCGATCCTTCTACCTCAACCTTCCAAGTAGCTAGAACTACAGGCATGTGCCACTATGCTCGGCTAATTTTTTGATTTATTGTAGAGATGAGATCTCTCCAAGTTGCCCAGGCTGGTCTCAAACCTGCAAGCTCAGGCAATCCTCTCACCCCGGTCTCTCAAAGTGGTGGTATTATAGGCATGAGCCACTATGCCTGGCCTTTTTTTTTTTTTTTTTTTTTGAGTTGGAGTCTCACTCTGTCACCCAGACTGGAGTGCAGTGGCCGCTCCCGGCCACCGCAGCCTCGACCTGCTGGGCTCCGGCGATCCTTCCGCCTCAGCCTTCCGAGTAGCCGGAATTACAGGCGCGCGCTACCACGCCCGGCTAATTTTTTGATTTATTGTAGAGATGAGGTCTCGCTGCCCAGGCGGGTCTCGAACCCGCGGGCTCAGGCAATCCACTCACCTCAGCCTCCCAAAGGCGCAGGATTACAGGCTGAGCCACCAAGCCCGGCTGCCTGGCCTAATTTTTAACGTTATAAATATAGATATAACCCATGGGGAAAAAAGCTGTTTGGAGCCCTCAATAATTTTTAAGAGTATTTTTTTCTTAGTCAGGATTACAGGAATGAGCCACCACACCCAGCCAAATTTTTAAGCGTATAAAAGGGTACTAAGACCAATAAGTCTGAGACCCATCATACTCCATGAACAGCCTGAGTTTGTCAAGAAGAGATCTAGACAGATGAGGAAGAGCAGAATGGAATATAGTCAGGAAAGTTAATCCTAGCTTTATCAGATAGTCAGTCTGCAACTTCAAGCAAATAAATTTTATTTTATTATTTTATTTTTTGAGTTTGTGTCTCACTTTGTCACCCAGGCTGGAATGCAGTGGCACAATCATGGCTCACCACACCTGACCTCCTGGATGAAGGTACTCCTTCTGCTTCAGCCTCCTAATTAGATTGGACTACAGGTACACGCCACCACACCCGGCTGTTTTATTTCTTGTAGAGTTGTTATGTTGCCTGGGTTGATCTAGAATTCCTGGGCTCAAGCAATCCTCCCACTTTGAACTCCCAAAGAACTGGGAATATAGGCATGAGCCACCACACCCAGACGAGCAAATAACTTTTGAGCTTCAGTTTCCTCTTCTACAAAATGGTACCAACATATCAACCTTGGAAGGATTATATTGTATATAAGGAACATCAAGTATGTATCACAATGCTGGGAACAATGTTATTATCATTAGCATATCTACATACTAAACGTATGCTCTCAATAAATTATCCCAAGAACCAGGGGGAACAGTAAAATCTAGCAAATCTATCATGTTATCACAGATGGTTCAATGGCTTTAGATTTTTTTTTCTATAAAGTAGAAAATGTAAGTATAAGCAATGTAACGAGGTCTCAGGATTTATCTCCTGCATAGAAAGTGGCCAGTGAGTTTTTCATTTATTGATGTAAAGGTGCACCATGAACTTTTTTTATTTTCTGTGTTGGAGTCTAACTCTGTTGCTCAGGCTGGAGTGCAGGGGCACACTTACGGCCACTGCAGCTTTGACCTGCTGGGCTCAAGCGATCCTTCCGCCTCAGTCTTCCAAGTAGTTGGAACTATAGGCGCACACCATCACACCCGGCTAATGTTTTGATTTATTGTAGAGATGAGGTCTCACCAAGTTGCCCAGGCTGGTCTCAAACCTGTGGGCTTGCAATTCTCTCACCTCAGCCTCCCAAAGTGCTGGGATTGTAGGCATGAGTCTCTGCGCCCGGCCGAACTTTTTAAATATGCTTACAGTTCAACATTTCAAAGCAGTCTGTCTGAAAGGTCTAGGATGGAGAGTGGTTGGGAGATAGGACACTTAAAACAAGAGAACCCCAATGAAGTTCAGAAAACAGTAAGGACTAGGGACAATAAGAAAGGTGTACTGTAGTTTAAGAAACAACAATACAATCGCTAACTGTAAGAAAACATTTGAGGACAACTGGCTGCCTACGAACTTAAACACACTAGCATTTAGGTTATGACAACTATTTGCATTCTGCTTTGCCATGCCACGCAACTTATCTTTTTGTGTCTGTGCATATTTCAGCTTGCAAATGCACACATGCTTTACACCACTACAACACACTGTAACATTACCTCTGATGTAAGCAGCTTGCAGTCTTCTCATTTTGCTGATCATCTGTTACGTCTAGTTTAAAAATAAAGCAAAACGTGCATACCCAAGCACAATCCCGGCAGAACACAAGTTTATGTGGAGTAACTCATTTGAATACCACACTCAACGTTTTCAATGTAATTTACAATCAAATTGCTATTTGCATTAATCATTTCCAATACGACAGAAGTTCACTATTCTTTTTTTTTTTTTTGAGTTGGAGTCTCACTCT